AATTTGGTGAAGTTGTTATATTTGATAACAAAAATAAGTGTACCAAAGGATTTTTAAAAATTTTCAAAATTGTAAAAGTTACGCCATTTTGAATTTTTTTATAAGATTTTTTTCAAATGTGAATATTTCCGAAACAATTTAACGGATTTTAATAAAATTTAAATATGTTAAAGTTAAAATCATGTCCTTTCAGAATTTTTCAAAAGAAAAAAAAAATTTTTGTTTTTTTTCAAAAAAAAAGTAAAAAAAAATTTTTTGAATCGATTTATTAAGCACGGGACCGAGTTTTGAGTATTTTTCGATATATAATAAAATATTCCTTATAATTTCACCTTTCATTTACAAAAAAGAAAACGATGGAGACTTTAATAGTTTTCGAGATATTGCAATTTTTGTGGAAGCGCGACCACGTTTCAGTGCCAGCGCAGTATCTTTTACCCGGGACGCCTCACAGTGGGATTTTTTACACTTTACTCTTCAAAATTGTCTAGAGCCTACAAATTTTATTGGATTTTGATGTTCTTGGTCTTAAATGAAAATGGATAACATTTCTAAGAGATCTCTTTAAACCGATTTTTGAATTTTTAATTGTTTATTTATTTTTTTGTTACTCAAAGTTAACAATTTAAAATATTTTTGTAAAAAATACTGTTTATTTTTTATTTTTCCATTGCACAAGATCGAAATCAATTTAAATTAGTCTAGTCTGACCACCTGACAAATAATAATGCATAATAAAGTTTATTTAAATTGTTAAAAAAACAATTTAAATTAACAAATAGATAACTTTGGTGTTTTTTTAAAAAAATTGTTTTTTTTGTAGACAAATTTATGTTTATTTAAGTAATGTCTGTCCATTTTGTAAAAAAATGATTTGAAAGTTAACAATTATCATTGTTATTAATAATTATATAACCAATAATCTATTTTCTTTGGCATTTATAAACATCTCCAGTATTTTTTAAACTTTAAATATTTATATCATATGTACATTCTTTCAAAAACTTAAAAAATTTATTAGCTCAAACAATTACATTTTTTATAAGAAATTATTAACTTTATAAACAAATAAATGGCTTATTTCTGCAAAAAAATTGAACCTTTTTGAACGAGTTTAACATTTTAAAGCTCTACTTAAATATCGATAACTTTTGAGTATTATTAATAACAATGATAATTGTTAACTTTCAAATCATTTTTTTACAAAATAGACATACATTACTTAAATAAACATAAATTTGTCTACAAAAAAAACAATTTTTTAAAAAAAAGACCAAAGTTATCTATTTGTTAATTTAAATTGTTTTTTTAAAAATTTAAATAAACTGTATTATGCATTATTATTTGTCAGGTGGTCCGACTAGACTAATTTAAATTGATTTCGATCTTGTGCAATGGAAAAATAAAAAATAAACAGTATTTTTTACAAAAATATTTTAAATTGTTAACTTTGAGTAACAAAAAAATAAATAAACAATTAAAAATTCAAAAATCGGTTTAAAGAGATCTCTTAGAAATGTTATCCATTTTCATTTAAAACCAAGAACATCAAAATCCAATAAAATTTGTAGGCTCTAGACAATTTTGAAAAGTAAAGTGTAAAAAATCCCACTGTGAGGCGTCCCGGGTAAAAGATACTGCGCTGGCACTGAAACGTGGTCGCGCTTCCACAAAAATTGCAATATCTCGAAAACTATTAAAGTCTCCATCGTTTTCTTTTTTGTAAATGAAAGGTGAAATTATAAGGAATATTTTATTATATATCGAAAAATACTCAAAACTCGGTCCCGTGCTTAATAAATCGATTCAAAAAATTTTTTTTTACTTTTTTTTTGAAAAAAAACAAAAATTTTTTTTTTCTTTTGAAAAATTCTGAAAGGACATGATTTTAACTTTAACATATTTAAATTTTATTAAAATCCGTTAAATTGTTTTGGAAATATTCACATTTGAAAAAAATCTTATAAAAAAATTCAAAATGGCGTAACTTTTACAATTTTGAAAATTTTTAAAAATCCTTTGGTACACTTATTTTTGTTATCAAATATAACAACTTCACCAAATTACAGAATAATCCGTAGACCCCATGCAAATTGTAATTTTTCTGAAGGAGTCTTACCCAACTATGTATTAATCACGGAATAAAAAGACTACTTAAAATGTATAAAAATAATCAAATCTCATGTTTTTTTCTGCCTCTTTGAGTATAATTATTTTCCGACATAATTGCAAAAATTAATTTTCTTTTACAATATAAATATAAAAATTCGTCACATTGAATAAAACACACAATAGGGTAAAAGTGGGTATTATCGCGGGTGTGGGTATTATCGCGGTATTTTATATTTTAATGAATATTTCAAATAATATAACAAATTTTTGACACTAAACAATCACTCCTTGAACCTGACAACTAAGACATTATAATATGCATCATATTTTTGATTATTTTTCTATTAATCAATTTATTAAAAATGTTTTAAAATTTGTTGTCTAAAAAAAGTTCAAAATGGCTCACCTTGGTTTGAGATTCAACTCTACAGTGGTGACAAAAATTATTGTTTTTATGTTCTATAAAACTCTAAGAGATGATTCTTTTTTTATATTTTGGTAAATTTATTGTTATTCTTCATAAAAAAAATTTGTTTAGTTAAAAAAAATTGATTTTTATCAAATATTTACAGTCACGATAATATAGACATCTTTTTTTTAACATGTGGGTATTTTCGCGGCTCCTATCATAACCCTTGAAAGTAAGGTTAGCAGTGTGTCTCTAAAGTTTAAAACGTTGAAATTATAGCCGATATTATTTTTGCTTGTTTTAATTTATATTTTAATAAAAGTACTTTGTATATAATATAAAAAACTTTAATTTTCAACTAAATAAATGTTGAATTAACATTGTTTTTCCACTTTGCACAGTAACTGTTAAACACATTTAGACACAATAAAAATTTCGTTTATTTGAACGTTCAGAATTTTAGTAAATCTTATAACAGTTACAAAATACAAGCAAGAAAATAAAGAGTAATGGAAAAGATAAAAAAATTAAAGTAAGTGAGATCTGTATATTTAAGGAAAAAATTTTTAATAGCTATAAAAAAGGAGCAAAAGTGTCAAATGAGAATTGACTATACGTTAGAAATATTTGATAATAATTGCTTTAGAATATTTTATCAGAGTATTATTTTATATTATGAGACTAATTAAATTATTATAATAAAACCAAGTATCTTTCTTCTTGTGATACTAGTTTACTATTGAATTCGTCCATTTATCATAATGCTTAACATTTTTTTTAATTCAAGTTCTTGCGATATTTATATTTATATTTTTAAAAACTATATTATTATTCCTTTTAATTTTTTACATTTACTACATTATAATTAAGTAACTATTACAAAAATCCAAAAAGCAATAAATAAATTATCCGCGATATTTACCACGCGATAATACACTCATCCGCGATATTTGACACGCGAAAATACCCTCAAGCCATTACAAGTCCCGCGAAATTACAAGCAAAGGAGTCTTCTATTTAATCATTTATTTAACGATTAAACTATTTTCTATAACATTGGCAATTTTTTTTTAAAGAAAAGAAAGCTTAAATATTCGTTTTAAAAAAAACAAAGTTATATACATTTATTTATAATTTTTAAACCACTTGGATGTATGACGTATACAAAATTCCTCGATAATACCCACATTTACCCTAATAGATGGTCATAAAATCATAAACAAAATTCGGCAGCCGGTTGATTTTCAACCTCAAAGATCGATATACTTAAAAACAATAACATGTAATATTCCACACGTTAGATATTAGAAAGAAGTATTAAATAATATTAAAACTGAATTAAACAAACAAAATATTAAATAATTTTCGAAGAAAAGTTCAATAAATTACTAAAGTAATAATGTAAACATTGCAAAAAATATAGAACAATATTTTTCTATGAGGAAATAGTTTTCATGCATGGCACGTTTTCTGTGGTGACGGTGGCGCTGACGCGTAAATTCCATTTTCGAAAAACGATCATAATATCTAAAGTTTTCAATGAAACGGCTTGAAAATTTTCAAAAAACTTTTTAATATACTAATAAACAAATTTCTCACTGAAAGTTCTGTTAACTCGAAAGTTCCCCGCACACTTTTTCTCGTCAAAGTAGAGAAATCGTATTTACCGACACGAGTTTGTTTACAATAATAAATAACTTAATAATAAATTTTTTAACAAGTTTTAATAGTTTAATCGTGTTCAGTAGATCCCAATGCGTAAGTACACTAATTTTTTTATTAATTTCATGAAGAATTGTTTGAGAAAAGACGATTGAAAAAATTTCAGTTTTTGTCCATTATTATTACAAATAATAATCCTTACAAAAAAATTTCAAAGACAAAAAAGTTGCGCATTTTTATGCTTTAAATGGTAGTGTGTTTCAATATTTAAATTTTCGACATTTTTTTTTTGCTATTTTGACGGTCTTGACTGGCGTTCGAGCGACCAGTCCGAGCGTCGGTCGAGTTATTTGATCAGGAGCCTCAAATATGTATTTCAAATGCAACTAATAATTACTATAAATATATAGAAGTGTGTACGATACTATATTACGTCCGTATTTCATCGGCTATCTCTCGCTTCATTCATTTTTGCTTGAATGAAAAAGTCTGCATGTCAAGAAACTCATATTTACAAGTGTCAAGTTTCTCCGCGCACGGATATATTAAAAGGATTTATATTATGATGAAAGCAGACAGCATGTAAAAACGCATGTGATTAAAAGGCTCTTATTTCCTTTTAATATTTCTAATCTGTCCACTGTCATTACACGCAAATATACAGTCGGTTGAGGCTAAAATATTACAAAAAGTTTATAATATATATTCACGCCATCAAAATGCAGTGTGTATTTTAGAATTTAAAAAAAAATTCAATTGCTATAACTTTTTTTAATTTTTAACTAAAAGTTTATATAAAAAGTGTAAATTGACTTACTTAATAATGCCATCCTCGATATAAACGTCACTATCAACCATGTCATCTTCATTGACGATTTTTCCGTTCTTGATCAAAAGCCGATTCTGCGCGCTCTGAAATTAAAAATTATTCTTATTAGTTTCTTTCTCCATTTATATCCAGGTATATTATTAAAATTTAAACTATAATAACTTTTATATTAATAAATAAGTCTGAAAATAACGAAAAAAATTTTAAATTATAATTAATCACGGTTTTTTTGACGTAATTAATTAAAAATAGCCTTTGCGTCTACACTCTGCAAGATTAGAATATAATGAACTTAAATTATAATAGAATACGTATAATTAATGCTTGATTGAGACATAAATCGTGGTTAAATTAAAGGTAAATTAATTTATTATTTTCATAATGAAAACATTTTCTATGTATATGTTTATGATAAAAGAAAAAAAATCAACACTTCTGTATGTTTCCTTTATATTAAGAAGGGCATCCGGTTAATATGACCAATAATTGACTCACTTTCACGCACTTCCGGCGAATGTTGAATTGAAAATGAACCTCTTTAAAAATTATATATTTAAAATTTGACGTTCAACTTAATACTATTCTTTACATTTTATTTTATTTACAAAATATTTCGTTATGCTTTACAATATATATATAATTATATTGAATTTTTATTTCTTTTCATTCATGAATTTTCAACATTTTTTTTCAAAAATTATATCAAATCACCTTCTGCGTAATAATGAAGTAAATATCTTAAATTATATAGGAAAACAATTTAATTTTGGAGAAATTACAAATGATTGCAAAAATTCAACTATTTTCAAAGGTAATCAAATTCTTCGCAGAAATTCAATTATTTTCAAAAATTTTAATAAAATTCTTGGCAAAACTTCAATTATTTTAAAAATTTTCCACAATTCAATAACGAGTTTTAATACAGTCAACTCTATGAATAGTGCCGCAAAATTGCACAGCGTTTACGACTTTTCTTGGAACTGTAGTACCCCCACTGTTTGTATATTTCTCTCTTAGGGGAAACTCGAAATTCAGAAACCGTGCTAGAGTCGCTAAAGTGGGGATAGAGCTCGAGCGAGAAAGAGGAGAAGTGGCACTATTGATAGCGGCACTATTGGTAGAGTTGACTGTATCTGCTATTTTAATCAAATTTTTCAAAATAATTCGAGGCATCAATAATTCATTTATTTAAAGAAAATGTTGATAAAATTCTAAGCAAACATTAAATTATTTTCATAAATAATAAAAATTTCACAGAAATTCAGCTATTATTTACAAATTTTTTATAAATTTCATCGCAATAATTCAATTATTTTCATAAATAATAAAATTCTTCTTAGGAATTCAATTATTTTTATGAATAATAAAACTCATCATTGAATTTTAAATATTTTTAATACAATTTTAATCGAATTCCTCAAAAAACGTAATTGTTCTTGAAAATTTTATTAAAATTCGTCGAAAATATTCAAATATGTTAATAAAATTCAAATTCTATCCTCCTAGAGAAACTGAATTTAAGGTTCTCCAAGCTAGATTTGGTGTGTGGTCTTTGGGAGAAAGACGAGAATTTGCCCATATAATATTCCTCTTTAAACTCATTAGAGGTATGATTGAATGTCCTTTTGTTTTGGAGATGGTACCTTTCAATGTCCCTAGTTACACAATAAGAAATACGGCTCCTTTTTATATACCGTCTGTACTTAATATTCATTCTCCACTTTATCGAATGTGTTCTTATATCAATAATATGTTTCTTCTATCTGATTGTATGAATTTAGATCTGTTTTCTATGTCTTTAAGTGAATTTATATCTGCAACACGTAAATTTATAAAACAAACATCGTAATTTAGACTCTAAGCAATGTATATCTACAGTTTGTATTCAGCAACAATTTAATTTTGTAATTATAGTAGCCCTGTCAATGGTTTTTACTGTTGGGCTTTGTTATAAATAAATAAATAAATAATTGAATTCTCGTAGAATTTTCTAATAAAAATTGATTTAAAAATGAATTTCACTTAAAATTTTCGATAATTATTGAATATTAAACGTATTAGAGTATGAATTTATAGAAATAATTGTGAACAAATGGATTTGAAAATAATTCTAAAGAAACTTTTGCAAAAATTATTAAAAATAATAGATAATTGAATTCTTTCGAATAATTTAAAAAAAATTTTTGAAAATTGTAATTTATATTTTTCGAAGAATTTATTTAAAATTGTATTAAAAACAATTGAAATCCTGTGAAGAATTTTATTGTTTATGAAAATAATTGAATTCTTGCAACGGATTTTATTACATTTTTTTTAAATATGTAATTGAAATCCCGTAAAGAATTTTATTATTTATGAAAATAATTGAATTCTTGCAACTAATTACATTTTGTTGAAATAATTGAATTCTTTTGAGAAATTTTATTAAAATATCGTCATCAGGCGTTCTTTAGAGGTCAGTATTGGGTCCAACTCTTTTTGGTCTTTACATTCGACTCGATCCTGTATAATATTCGATAGACCTTATTTCATTGGTCAAAACTTCTTTTTCATGTAATTTTCTTTTATAAGAATAAGAATGTGTTGAAAATTGTTTATAAACACAATGTTTTTTCAATTAATGTTAATGAATGAAAATAATAATTAATATTAAGATGGAAATAAGAGAATGATTATAAAAATGGATTTCATAATATATAAAATTGTATTGAACCGAAATAATTTTGTATAGAGAAACTTTGTTTCGATACATTTTTGTTATATAGAATTATATAGTTTGGCAAAAATTTTAGGAAATAAATAGAATATAATGGAAAGTTTACATTTATTCAAACTTGCATATTTTAAAACTTAAATTGCAACAAAATGTTATTTTTCCTAATTTATGTTTTTTAAGCAGCTTTCATTAATGAAAGCTGCTGTGTATATAATAGTTGTGTATATAATAAAGTGTATATAATAATTTGCATACAATTGTATGCAAATTATTATATACACTGAGAAAACTGGAGTATTGGACTAAACATCTGGAGGGTCAAATCGTTGATATTTGAGAGTTAGCTATTGGATAACAATCTAAATGTTCAAATACACCATTGACAGATATTCGTGCCATTTCTCTTGGAGGGAAAATGAGTTTATAACAGAGGGACAAATTAACCATCTTGAGAAATCCCTTCCTTATCCGGCGCGAAATGAATAAATATGGCAACCTAACCCCTAAATTAAATACATAAATTGTCAGAAAAATAATTTCGCGCGCATCAGATCGTACACATTTTCTGCGCAACTTTTAACCCTCAGATATAATGGGAGAGAATATACAAGTAGATTTTCATTATCAATTCAAAACTTATTTTAGAAGGACTATTTAACTCTCTTCATAAGCAAAGGAAACATACACTTTTTGAACCTCTGAATTCGACTCTCCAGTTTTCTCAGTGTAGAGAAATTTCCCTGGTTAAAATTTTGGACTAATTCCGGATTAAATATGGACAGATTAGTACGGATTAGTCCGAAAATTGTACGAAAAAGGTCCGAAAATGATCCGCGCTAGTCTGATATCAATCCGAACGAAAACCTGAATCCGAAAACACTCCTGAGTAATCCTGAATGTCTACGAATTCAGTCCGTTATTATAGTCCGCAACAATCCAAATTTATGACCGGTAAAGAATTCTTCTAAAATAAGTAAGGAATTATCCGATATCAATATGTAAAGAATACGGAATCAATCCGCAACAATCCGAGTTTAATCTAGTACAAAACAATTCATAGTGTGGTAAAATCATATTCCGAAACAAATACGAAACAATCCGAAATATGTATGCTAAGAATCCGGTAATAATCGGCCACCCGAATCATATTATATCCCTGCTAAAAATTTCGGACTAATCCGGGTTAACTCCGGGTATATTAGTGTGGATTAATCCGATAATTGTACGAAAATGATCCGCGTTAATCTAACATCAATCTGAGCGAAATTATAAATCTTAAATCAGTCTGGAGTAATTTTAAATGTCTAACTATGAATTAGGTCCTTAATTATTACGCAATAATCTGAAATTATGTCCGTCAAAAAACTCATCTAAAATAAATACGAAATAATCAAAAATCAGTAAAGAATACGAAATCAGTCCGCAATAATCCGAATTTAATCCAGTTAAAAGATTTAATCCGAAACAAGTATATGGAACAATCTAAAATCTGTGTGCAAAGAATCCGGTAATAGTCAGCGGCAATCCGAATAATATCCGATCAAAACACCCCAGTCCGAAAATAAGTCTTATTATTATAAGAATTTGTAAATTTAGTCAATCCTCCACAATGACGTTTTTCACAATGAAGAATCCTCTATAATGACGGTTCGGTTTAGTTCCAATCTCCGTCACAATGGTGGGATGGCGTTACTTGATTTGATTAAGTTTCAGTGTCGTATTCTTTGGGAGGATAGAAATAAAAAATAAACAAATATAAATGAATCAATTTATTATATTTATAAATATAATATAATATTAATAAATAAATTTATTTATTTAATGCTTATTCTTATATTAAATAATTTAAATGATAATGCATATTATTTTAACTACATTATTCATTTAAATATGTAAATAATTAAAAAGTTTAATTGAGGCCTTGGATCCAATAACTCGCCCGACGCTCGGAGGAACGCGCTAATACCAGTCGGGTAGCAGTGAGTGGCCCAGAGGCGCTCACTGCTCACTGACTGGCAGTTGCGCGTTCCTCCGAGCGTCGGGCGAGTTATTGAATCCAAGGCCTCAATTATATATTAATATAATAATTTTTAATTAATAATAATTGATTCTCTTTCTGTATTTTTACTCAAAAAATTAAAAACATAACCTCAAATTTTTTGCTTCTTAGCCCTCCGTCACACAGCTAGGGACAATAGGTTTGTTCTCGCTAGCTACACCGCTACACTCGAGTGTAACAAGAGTGTAAAACGGAGCATGCGCACTTAAACAATGTACAAAATCTAGCGAGAACGCAAAAGTGTAGAGAAAGTGCACGAAAAAATGAAAAAAAATTAACGCTATCTTAATTGTAAACTGCATACAATCTGTAATATAGTTAGGTTTTATAAATAAATATATGGGTCATTTTATTTAAAACAAGCCACCTTATAAACAATTGCCATTGTGAAGCAATTTTTAAATAATTATTTCTCACATTTATTAAAGCCAAAATTTATTTACTATTAGTGATTTTAAGAGAAAAATTTATCAGTTTTATGATGTTAAAATTTTTTTTTAAATAATAGGATTTATTCCTATTATTCCCTGTAAACTTTATAATGGGCAATTCATGGAAATTTGAGACATTAATTAAATTTTACAAGAATTTCGAAGGTTAAATGTATATGTACCGAGCAGAATTTAATTTTTTCAAATTTTTACACAGTTTAAACTCTGACATCTTTGTAAAATTTAATTAATTTCTTAATTTCAACCGATTTGCTCATTATAATGTTTACAGAGAATAAAACTAGAATTTTTAAGCTTCATTTTCACATAAGTTTCAAGAAAAACGGAAGCGACATGTTTTGAAATATTCTAAAGGTTATCTTTCAAACTTAATTTTTTTCATAAATTCTATTATTTTTTAAAAAATATGTTTACCATCATAAAATTAAGAAATTTTTTTTTAAATTCTATGTAAATAAAGTTTGGTTTTAATAAATGGGAAAATAATTATTTAAAAATTGCTTTACAATGTTAATTGTTTATAATGTGGTACTTTATATAAATATTAACAAAATAAGAATTGCTTACTAATAATTTTACAAATTAAAAGTCACTAAGAAATATATTATAATTTTATGTTCATAAAATAATTAATGCATTTTAAATAAAATGTCCATTTACCGCCATTTTAATCAGAACACTCAATTACACTCGCTCGCAATCGGGTGTAATAAAATAGGGAAAAGTGCACGGGCTTCTAGGGAGTTAGGTGTACCCTATTGCGTCACTTCTGGTAACGAGAACGCCGTAGTGTACACTTTTGTACAAAGTGTAGAAAGTGTAGCTAGCGAGAACAAACCTATTAAGTGTGACAAAATAAACGTAAGTAATTATAAATGAAAAATCAATACCTAATGACTTCTTTTTAAACTTTTATTTAAATAATAGTTGGTCGAAGCGTGCGTAAAAAATAATCATGAATATATAAGTTTAAGTTGTTAAAAACTTTTAATAAATTACTCTAACCTCACATAACCTCCAATTCGTTGTATTGTTTTGGATTATTTATATCATTGTAATTAATAATTCAAATGAACTATTAATGATTTGAATCACTATTATGAAAATTCGATATTTAAAGTGCGAATGGTGCAGGTTATGTTGTCAATTTTCTTAGATTTCACAATAAATATTGACACTTACAAAATTTTCAAGGAACCGGAATTTTTTTTAAGTGTAGCATTGTAAATTTTTATTATGACATAAAATAATTTTATTATTTTTTTAAAGGTATAAATAACAATATGCTGACTCGCCAAAGATTTAATGCAACAAAACTCCTCGAGGTTGAAAAAAATACATCAGGAGAAAATTCTTCATCAAATGATGAAAAAGATCACTTGAATTATTCCGAACATGACACGAAATCTAGTTTCTCAGACTATTCAGGAAATTCTGAGACCTTGGACGATGATGATTGGTAAAATTATTTTATTTATACTTTTTGTACTTTAAATATAACTTAAAAAATATTTATAAAACAAAACTTGAAAATAAATGTTACATAAATGAATTTTACAGGGTTCCTGATAACAGTAGCGCGAAACACAAAAAGCAACTTGCACCAAACAAAGGTGCTTCTAAATTGTAAGTTTTTTGAAATTTTCCTTATTTGACAATTCTACACGGAAAAAAATAGTGTGCTAAAAACACACATAGCGAACTGTTGCGTATATTGCACGCACACTACCATGCGTGATTTGCTTGGAATCCATCCTATTGTCGCATGGTGTTGTAGTAAAAGCCATGGCTCATGTGGCTTTTGCTAAGGCACCATGCAAAAATAGGATGGATTCCAACCCAGTAAAAAAAAAAGTATTCAGAATAGAGAAAAAGTATTGGTGGAGACGTTCGGTGAATGCGTTTTCGCGACAAAACCGTATTGGTGGGTCACGGTGAATACATTTCGCTTACCGTGAATACTTTTTTTAAAAACTTTCGATTTAAAGATTCCTAAGCAAAGTTGAGAATATTTATAAAGAGCGTAAGTGACCTGAAGTATAAAAATGACTATTGCGAGAAGGAAATAAGAAATTTAAAAAAAAACGAAAAATTAAATGTGACAAACAGATTGTCAAATGTTGATCAATTACCATATGCTTTTCTGTGCCTACAACGTATGATGATTAAAAGGAACTTTGACGTTACCGGCGGAACTTACTGTTTCACATACATTTACTTGGATTTCTCAAGTTTCTGTCGGTATCGTCAATGTTCCTTTTCATCATCATACGCTGTAGGTTTGTCACATTTAATTTTTCGTTTTTTCTCAAAATTTCTTATTTCCTTCTCGCAATCGTCATTTTTATACTTCAGATCACTTACGCTCTTTATAAATATTCTCAACTTTGCTTAGGAATCTTTAAATCGAGAGTATAAAAAAAAAGTATTCACGGTAAGCGAAATGTATTCACCGTGACCCACCAATACGGTTTTGTCGCGAAAACGCATTCACCGAACGTCTCCACCAATACTTTTTCTCTATTCTGAATACTTTTTTTTTTACTGGGAAGCAAATCACGCATGGTAGTGTGCGTGAATATACCCAACGTGCGTGCAATATACACAACAGTTTCGCTCATGTGTTTTTAGCACACTATTTTTTTCCGTGTAATAAACGGTTTTTTAAATTTATTAATATAATTTTGAAATATAGACTGTTGATTATATTTATGTAATTTTAAATTAATAATAATGACATTTTGTCTCTTTCCGATTATTTTTTTATCAATTATTATTATTATTTTATTGTAGGTACTTAAAAGACAATTTTTTTGCGTAGTTTTATAAATTTATGCTTAAAATTAATATTCATTTTTAATAATTAAACTTTAATTTTTTACAGAACGCAAAATAATGTCCTTGTTAAAAAAAATCAAAAAAATTGGATAATTCGAAGCGAGCTACTTCCAATTGCGATACTTCGTCTAATGCATCGAAAAATCCAGCTGTTGAGGCGTTTTACTTAGGTAAAGATAACGAAACTAAATGGAATAAAGAACCTCCTTCAAAAAATCAAAGGACTAGAGCAAAAAACATTGTTAATTTCTCTGCTGGAGTAAAAGGTGATGCTCAGAACTGTACGACACCAATTGAAATATAGAATTTATTTTTTACCGAAGAAATAATGAACGAAATTGTAATGTGTACAAATATTCGATTGCGTCATATGCGAAATAATAAACAAACCGGAAAAGTAAATGAGAATACAAAGCTACAATTGAACTCAGCGCTATTTGGAATATTGTATATGGCTGGTGTCCTTCAAATGTCCCATGTAAATACTGAAGAACTTTGGACTATTGATAATACAGCACCACAATTTTTTCGATTAGTTATGAGCAAAAATCGATTTGCTGTTTTACTGCAGGCTCTACGTTTTGACGACAATATTGAAACGAGGGAAGAGAGACGTGCTCTTGACAAACTGGCACCTATCCGGAAAATATTCGAGGATTTCAATAAACGATTACCTGAATTATACACACCTGGAGAAACCTGTACTATCGATGAAATGTTACAATCTTTTAGAGGCAGGTGCCCGTTCAGACAGTATATCCCCAGCAAACAGGCAAAATATGGAATCAAAATATTTAATCTTGCCGATGCTGATACATTTTATACTATAAAATTGGAAGTATATCTCGGAGTACAACCTAATGGGCCATTCTACGTTGATAATAAGCCGAGTAATGTAGTCAAAAGGTTGGTTATCCCGATTGCAAACTCAAATAGAAATGTAACATTCGATAACTGGTTTACATCTTTTCCACTAATTGAAGAGCTTCTTTATGATTATAATTTGACTATCGTGGGTACTGTGAAAAGAAACAAACGAGAGCTTCCACCGATTTTCGTGCAAACTAAAAAGAGGGCTATTAAATCAACTCTCTTTGGTTTTTGAAAAAATACTGTACTTGTCTCCTACGTTCCAAAAAGAAACAAATCAGTCGTTTTAGTTTCCACTTTGCACGACACGGGTGAAATTGATACTTCATCTGGAGAAAAATTGCTACCAGAAATAATTTCTTTTTACAATTCAATAAAGGGTGGTGTTGATGTGGTCGACAAACTTTCAGCTCAGTATAGTGTTGCTCGAGATACTAATAGATGGCCACTTGTATTATTTTTTTCCCTTCTAAATGTTGCAGGAATCAACAGCTTTGTTATTCATTCTCTGAATTCCGCAGAAGAAATGAAGAGGAGAATATTTTTGAAAAATTTGGCCCATGAATTGGTTAAACCACAAATAGTACAAAGGTTGTCAATTAGAGCACTTCCACTTAATCTAAGACAGGACATGTTACAGTACCTGGGAGTAGAAGATGATACAAATAACAACAATTCATCTAAATGCATTTACTGTCCTAAAAAGAAAAATCGATTCTCTAAAAGTAGCTGCATTGGATGTTCTTCAAAAATTTGAACATACTATTAAACATACTATTAAAGTATGTCACAAATGTTTTAAAAAATTTTCAATTTTTGAGTAGATTTTATTATGATGAAAAAGTTTTAAGTTGTTTTAAAGTTTTAAATTTATGAAACAGAAATTAAATATCATTAAATGATAACTAAAAGTTAAATTTCATTGAAACTTTTAAATTAATTTGTAATAAAACGATGACTAAAGGTGCGTTATGTATTAAAAATACTTGATAAATGTGATACATATAAGTTAATGATTTTTGGATATTTATACACGGAAAAAATTAGTCGCTGAAGTTTTCAGCTACTAATTGAAGACTCTCGGATATGGAAAAAAACTTTACGGACTTTTTGAAATACTCTTCGCTTTTAGCAAAAATTCTCTGAAAAAAGTTGAGGACTTTTTATAAACCTAGTAGCGGAAAATAGTCGTAGAATTATTGTAACACTTGGATAGAAATTTTCGTCGACGAGTCGCGGAAAATGATGCGCAGAAAAGATGCGCAAACTCTCAGGCGGTAAACGTCACGTGAAATAATTTTGACTGACTTTGTTTACGTATTTTTTATTTATTTATTTTTATTTTTCTTTATTTATTTTTTATTTATTTATTTTTTTTATTTTTTTCTTAGCGATGTCAAATCAATTATTAAATAACAAAATTATAAAAAATAAAACAGTTTGTACAGGTATCATTACTTTTCAATGAGAAAGTGACTATTTTTATTTTCATTGGTATCGCGCACCTTTACGATGGAGGAGTTTGAAAATCCGGTAAGAAATTTAAAATAATTTGTGACAATTAAATACCAACTTTAAATGAATATTTTGTTTCATCAAAAAATATAATCACTCTCGAGCTTATTTCATTATAATTAAATTGTAAATAATACTTTTAATACGCGCATTATAAATTTATAGAAATTGTAGAATTATATTTTAATATTTATTTACATATTTTATATTCAAAATTTTTAGGATTGTTGATTATGAATTATTATAATTTATTATTGATTATTATAATAATATATAATATATCAAATCATATTATTCAAAATAATTAAAAACATAATAACATACAATAATATAAAATATAATTATTAATCGTTAAAGAAGTTTTTACAGTAATTAACAGAAAAAAATTTGTTTGGTTTAATTATTATTTTCATTAAATATTATAATTCTTCTATACATGTGATAAATTAAAAATAATAAAATGGAAATAAGTGTAAAATAGTCCTTAACGCATACTGAAATACTCTTTAAAATTCTAGAATATGTTGAGCAGAAATATTTGAGATTTATAATTTTCAAAATATTGCACTTTTTCTCGCAAGCGGTAAAGAAATGTTTCATTTATTATATAAGGACGATGAAAAAGTAGATTTGTAGCGTGCGAAACTGCGAAAGCGTAGGGTAATATATGCGTGTTAGTGTTAGTTATTTAGTTTGACGTAGGAAATTAGTGTTTAAATAGTGTTCGATTACATGTGATAAGTGTCGTGATTATGTATAAATGTACGAGTGTAATTAAATATAAGGCATAATAAGAATAAAATAAATAAGAACTGAAAGAATTTTTTTTTTCATTGGTCGGCCGAATTTTTCATTTTCCGCGACTATCGATGAAAGTTTAGAATACTATAAAACAAGATTTCCGCGACTGTCGCCAAATCGTTCGCGCGCCGGCTGTGTTTTCATTTTCCGCGACTGACGCTGAAAGTTTCGAATCCTTTTTCTAAATTCTCTTCGAATGTAGTTTATTTTTCCTGCAACCTGTTAATATGATTTTTAAAACTCAGTGATTTTAAAAATTTAAATACTTTCCACTAAATCTGAGAGTCTTTTACAAAGTCGCGGAAAATTTCAGCAACTAATTTTTTCCGTGTAAGCTAGTATTTAAAACACTGAAACTAAACAGAATTACTATTTCCAAAAAATATCATTGTCACAATATCGTTCTTATTTTGTATTATTTGTATGTTTTTCGTAATAAAACTGAATGTATAATTCGAAAATATCCAGATGATTTTATTTATTTTTAAATTAAAATTATACTGCTTGATTTAATTATTTATTATCATAAATTGCAAATGTTTAATAAGATTATGGTAGGAAAATGTAAGTAATTTAAGTCAACTCACTTAGAATTTTAATTTAAACTTTAAAATATTTATTGATTTAGTAATATTAATTTGTTATTGATTAAAAATTATTTTTTAACTTTATTAAGAGGAATCAAAATTTTATTTGAAATTGGAATAAGAATTTAAAACGAATCAGTAAATATTTACAAATTTATACTATAACCTCTAAAAGTACTGATTCAAACATGTGCGGCAACGTCACATCATTTTTACATGGAGAGGGATTCTCTTACTGCGAGTGTAATGTCGTAATTTTTTCCCATGTGTGTGACGGAGGGTTAGGTACCTTTCCTCAGAGCGTGACACATATTGTATTAATTATTATAATAATTAATATCACAATTACTTTAATATGAATATTATTTACACTTTCCAACGGACAATTAATTAATTTCATAGTTAGCACGTTTAAATAAATAATATACACACATAACATTTTTCTACGAAAATTCTCCCAGTGTGTCCCAAACAATATGTACAGCCCTGAAAAAGTAGTTAGGGGGTGTGACGTAGGCAACCGTCAAAGTGAAGGATAGGAGAAGGGGAAATTTCGGGCTGATCCGTCATTGTGGAGGATTGACTGCACTGAGAGAAGAAAAGCACAGAAACAGAATCCGTACTGTGACAAACACCGGCCGTGTAAAATGCGTGTCAGTGCCCGTTCTTAATTTTATTCAGTTGGTGTCATTCATAGTTCAGATACTATGCTCAAGCAGCGCGGCGGCGGTACGAACTAATTAGTACAGGATCTGTTTCATAGTGACCGACAGATACTGTACTTCTAAACAGTAGCATTTGAAGTACAACATCTGTACCTCAAGCCACAGTCAAAATCCGTTTCACATTTTAGCACAACACCTATTACACAGTGGCACTGCTGCTGCGTTCAATTGGAGTACAGATGCTGAGCTTTTCCATTTCAGAATCTGTGCTTTTCTTCTCTCAGTGTGTATATACAATCCACAGACAGTTCAAAACAATCCATATTCAATCCAATTCAAAGACTTAATCCGGAATGATTTTGGTATAATATTAAATTTCTATATTAAAAACAATTTGTATTAAATGCAGATAAATTCAAACTATAATTATAATTTCGTATGACAAAAACCTGACCAATACCAGATTAATTCCGGATTTAATAATTTCACATTTGCAAGTTGCGTATTATCAGACAAACTTCGGACTAGATCGGACTAATTCCGGATTCACTGGTTATACACAAACCGAATTAAGTTTGAATTTATCCGGACAAATTCTGAGCGACAAAAACCTGTCCATAAGCAGACTGTTTCGGATTAGCTGCCCATTCACTGGTTAAACCAACCGGATTACTTCTGCATTTACTAGTGTCTCTTCATTTGTCCTAAAGAACAAGAAAAATTACCTTTAACTTGATTTAGAATTTTTAACCTATTTGCCCTACATTAATTAAAATAGAATCAGCCATGTGTAACTTGTATAATTATTTTTTTATTAACATTCACTAAATTGTCACTTTTGCGAATCGCCATTTTTAGGAGTAGTCACTTTTGCGAAGCGACATTTTTACGAATTGTCATTTTTGCGAATAGCCATTTTTGCGAAAAGTCATTTTTACGAATTGTCGTTTTTGCGAATTGTCATTTTTGCGAATTGTCAATTTTGCGAATCGCCATTTTTACGAATTGTCACTTTTCCGAAAAGCCATTTTTGCGAATTGTCATTTTTGCGAAAATTACTATAGTAAACTTGTATGTATATATAGATTCACTATAGCATTTTTTGCAAAAATGACAATTCGTATAAAAGACTTCGGAAAAGTGACAATTCGTAAAAATGGCGATTCGCAAAAGTGATAATTCGCAAAAATGACATTTCGCAATAATACACTGAGAAAAATAGAGTTTGAAAAACTGGGAGTCAATATTGAAAAAACTGGACTCAGTCCAGTAAAAGTACATTAATTCATTTCCATGAAGCCTCTTAGGGTGTTGCGTATAGTGTATAGAGGGCCTCAGTTCAAAATTTCACTGTAAAGAGCATTGAAACACAGGCGAAGATTATAAGGCGCGCTGCAGTGTGCATAGTAGAGAAACTGGACTCAGTCCCCTACTTCGAAACTTTCATAATGAGGGAACGCAGGCGCGGAACCTGTCAAAATAAATGGCCGACGCGACGCGAAACGAGTGTTTCCTTTTATTCACTTCGTCAATTTTATATAAAAAAAACAATAACCAATCATTAAAAAAAAGAAAAATATGTTAAATGCACTCTTTATATATTCATATTCATTAATTCACAAGTTTTATTCTTCCCACATCTTCATACTTACAATTAACAACTAAATGCATCGGAAAATCTTACAATCATACGGGATTGAACACCTACCTAACCATACAACTAAATATACGCATAATTATAAATCGCACGCTTTTACATTAAGCCTCTCGGCTACGCAATCGATGGCGGAAATTTCCTATTTAAGAAACATCCCAGGCGGAAAAGTCGGACGAACGTCGGAGTTTACAACCGGCTGGGATCCGCGCCCGTACAGACCGCAAGTACCCAGTGAGAAATTGCCAATAGACTTTAATCGGTCCAATATCGGTCCAATATTGGTTGCCGTGCTGGGCGCCGATTGACTCCCAATATTGGACCAATATGGGCTGATGCTTGGGATGTAACGGCATCGCCAATCATCGGTTGTCAATATTGGTCCAATATTGGCCGAATATTGGCAACCAAGAGAAAAAAATTTTTTTAAATAAATTTTTTTTAATTAAATAATAATAATAAAAAATTAATGTTTATAATTTTTGTTTAATATATTTATTTGTTTTAATTATTTATTTTTAATAATTCATGTAAATAATAAATAATTTATTATTTATAAATTATAATTATTTAAAAATGCAGCAGCTATTAGAAAATAGCATTCTGCAAAAAAATTCTATCATTGAAAAATCAATGATAGGCGAGAGAAATCCGCGTCTTTAAATAGATTCGCAGATGATAGACAAGAGATACCCGCGTCATTAAACGGATTCGCAGATATACTCTGGTCTCGCGACGAATCTCTCGATACTTATATACACTGGAGTCGCCGTGTCAGTTGCGAGAACGGTTACAGCGTCCCTCTTGCGGCAGAGATAAGAATTGTCACGTAAACTGCTAAATCGCTTTACCGACCGCCTTATTATACCCGCAGTTTACGTGACAATTCTTATCTCTGCCGCAAGAGGGACGCTGTAACCGTTCTCGCAACTGACACGGCGACTCCAGTGTATATAAGTATCGAGAGATTCGTCGCGAGACCAGAGTATATCTGCGAATCCGTTTAATGACGCGGGTATCTCTTGTCTATCATCTGCGAATCTATTTAAAGACGCGGATTTCTCTCGCCTATCATAGATTTTTCAATGATAGAATTTTTTTGCAGAATGCTATTTTCTAATAGCTGCTGCATTTTTAAATTATTATAATTTATAAATAATAAATTATTTATTATTTACATGAATTATTAAAAATAAATAATTAAACAAATAAATATATTAAACAAAAATTATAAACATTAATTTTTTATTATTATTATTTAATTAAAAAAAATTTATTTAAAAAATTTTTTTTCTCTTGGTTGCCAATATTCGGCCAATATTGGACCAATATTGACAACCGATGATTGGCGATGCCGTTACATCCCAAGCATCAGCCCATATTGGTCCAATATTGGGAGCCTTTATTGGACCGATGATCGGTCT